AAATAAACAGAAATGAATACAACATAATCAAGCTAATCAAATTTAAGATAGAACTCTAAGATACCAAAATAATTAGAAATCAACGTGTGAGAAGATTACCATGCTGAAAGGCTGCTAGAAATAATTTAACGTAGAAATCTCACTTGCAGGAGGCTGCCAAAACTGCATCAAATGTAAAATAGAAAAATATTCTATAATAAATAAATAATTAGAAATGAGCATGACAGAAGATCACCATCCTGAAAAGACTAAGATATATCTGTTAGAAGCAATTAATGCTAGAAAATAGTCCCAGGTTAAAATGACTAAAAATAAGCATTAAAAAACATAATAATGTTTATCAAATTTGAGAGATAAAGTTGCCTTAAAATATAAAAAAAATTAGAAATCAGAGACTCAAAATAATATTTGTTCAAAAGGACAAAAAAAATGGAAGAGCAGTATTCGATGGAAGACTAAACATAATATTTATTTCTAAAAGTAATAAAAAAAACATTCGCTAGAAGGAGGGCTTGAACCTCCGACCTTGTGGTTAACAGCCACACGCTCTAACCAACTGAGCTATTCCAGCTTCTTGATAAAGATGATATTAATAAATTTTTACACATTTTCTATATGTCAAAGTCTTGATTCCCATATATTAGATTCCAGTAATCTTATTTAAGAGAAGAATAGCTACCACTGATCCTGAGCAAAGGTTCATATGCAACTTCAGGAGAAGTATAAATATTTGTTTACTTGCAGATAACTGAAAGGTTAACCTGGTTTGCTGGACAGGAACAATCACAATCATACATTGATGCACTGAGTCTTGAATGCTTGTTCCAAATTCTTCAGTGTTTAGTTTCGTAACACCTGTAGACAGTTAAATATAATTTTAAATGGACACATGAAGTACCTTACTGTAACATAAATTATCTGCAAATGAGGCAACTGAGTCTGGAAAATTCTGAACATTAAGTTCTTTTTCAAATGGAATCTCCCTCAGGTTTGGACATATGACAATATTGAACATTGTGAGTCCTTAAAACGGTGACCTGAATCAATCAACGGCAACTAAACTTTAGAAGAAAGGATAAAAGAATAACCAAAGACAAAAACCCAAGTATGCTATGGCAGACAACACTTGATAGAGGATGCTTCCATGGAATGCACAAAACTTACTTGGTTCTGAAGGTCCGATAATTTTGACCAGCAGTAGTTTATGATAAGAACTGAATGCAGCACCAAAAATACTCTGCCAAGAAAACCTTGGAATACTTGTTGCATTGTCTGCAGACAATTAGAATAGGCCACTATCACCAAACAGTTCATCCAATCAACATTGATGCAAATAGAAGAAGCTACTAGCGCCTACCAATCTCATTTTCCATAAGCTGAAAAATAGTGGCAATGAATCCTAATAACTTAGTACATAAAAAAACATCAAACATTCATTAATATGCAAGCTAATAGGCCTAAGTACATGTTCCAAGCAACATTACTAGTTTAAACAATCAACTAAAGCTTTTCAATTGACATGCAGGAGCATACAACAGCAAAATGCTGGACAAATCCAGCACAAATAAGAGCAGCATTTACAAGTCTAACTTCTCGTTAAGAACTGTGGATGACATAATTCCCATATTCATACTGATGGCAGGTACAACAAATGATTATGTGAGTGAGCTTACAAGCTCAAGCATGGGTTTGCCTACAACAAAAGAAAATTTATGAACAAAGGTCTGGTAGCAGAGTGGTGAAGAATATAAGAAGAAGACTGAATAAGACTAATGGATAATGAGTTAAATACATAGCAGAAGACATCTCTCACCATATAATTTTCTCCCATAAATAGTGCCGATGGATTAAGTAAGAAGACACAACAAGTGATTCATGTGCCCAGGCAATTATCACCTATGAAGTAAGATATTTCTTTGAACAATTAGGGAAAATATCACTTTTAATTCTTAAGCTGAATTCATTGCATAATCAATGGATAGTGCCTACTCTGACATCAAAAAAGTTTCTGAACCTGAAAGAGAGTTTCTTTTAATGCTCTTATTTGATAATAGTAGTAATAATATTGTTAACAATGACAACAACAATGACAATGATGAACACTTCTCCATTCATTGTCTTAAAGTGAAAATCTATATCCCGATAGGTCTGAGATGAGTAAAAATAAAGTTGTCAATGTAAAATTGAGTCATCAACCATTAGAAACTTGAACCCAAGCATTTTGGGAAATTTTTTTGGAAAATGGATCATCTTGGGGCATATGCAGAGTGATGATCCTCTCGTTTGACCTGGATACCAACTCTGACCACCATGTACTGAAGTTTATTCTGCCTCATCTTACCTCTTCAAGAGGAAAAAATTAATGATACAAATATAATATTAGGAGCTGCTCTTGTGAAAAATTGGAAATTCACTTCGAAAGAAGCATGAAATAATAAAAGAAGACCTACTTGTAATGGTTATTATATCATGATACTGGAATAGCATCACTGAAGGATCTAATAAGAGGCAGACCCATAGACATGTGGATACATATCCAACAAGTTTTGTAGGCGTAGATGCAAGAGTCCATCTAACATTACCAATATGTTGCAAGATAGTGAATCATGTGTAACCTACCACATCAAGAAGCTTCATGCAAAGAAATAGTTAGGGTGGGATGGGAGGAAGTGATGGTAACAACTATCAACCAAAACATCTGACACTAGAACAAAAATCTTCTAAATGATAATATACAGATGCTCTTTAACTTATTTTACAATGATAGGACTCCTTGTTAGAAGACCTGACTCCTACAACCTACAAAGTTGACATCTTCTGATCAAGTGACACTATTAGGTTTATTCTCTTGACTTTCTTAATAGCTATTTAATTACTCTATCTAAGTCATCTATCAGATCTTCTCCAATATTCCAAACATGAATACCAGTGATTGTGGGTTTACAGCATTTTATTAATGTCAACCCTCTGATGTTGCAATAGAAATCTATATTTGTTTTCTTTTAGTTCTAAAAAATGACATTTTAGTGGTTTTCAACAGCGACAAGCAGATCTTCTTCTTTTCTTTTTTTTTTTGAAATTTCATGGTTTCACAGAGACAAGAAGCTTCGTCACAAAAACGATTATGAACAAAATCAACAAATATGAGGGTTAACAAGTATCATATCGTACAGGATATGTTGCAACTCATACAGTGCAAGCAAATGATATCATAGAGGGTAATAAACATACGTCTCAATGCCAGCCATAGTACAAGAGAATCCCACAGGTTCTATAATACAAAACATGTGAAGAAGTGTGTCACGAACAAAATATGCAACATAATAATGAAGAATGAGTAGCAGACTGTGAACATCACATGAATTAGAATCGATTTAAGTAATGACCTCGCTTTCAGATTCAATCTATCGAGAAGCTCTGATGTAACAGTGTTCATATGTAGCCTAACCCGTGGCAGCATCTGAGCCAACGGAATCATTCTTTCATAGCTCGCGGTGAAGTCCTTCGCTGCGCTCAATTCCCCTATAACAAGAATCAAAATCAAAGAAAGACGAGCATTGCTGAGCAACGATCACGGAAAAGAACGATTCGTGGAGTCGGTGCCATATACAATCAATGATCGACATATCAAATTGCATCGAGAAGACCTACGACTTAAAGAGAGACTCTCCCTTGCAAGAAGGAGAGCCAGCGGATGGATGAAGCTTCACCGAGTCCAGGACGCAGCACACATCGATATCCGTCACCTCCGCCCGCTGGAAGAAGCCTTTGAACCGCAATTGTCACTGAATCCAGAATCGAGCTCTAGCATCAATCTTGGGCGGAAAGAGGAGCGACATTAGGGTTTCTGAGAGAGCTCACGACGAATCGCCGCTGGCTCTGAGGTCTTCATCGGAGATGAGATGCGGATTCTACAGACTCCACGGATCGATTCCTCGCCATTGGAGTTGAAGTGGCCCCTCGATGACTTCCGGAGACAGAGGGGGGCGAAGAGAGAATGAGACGAACCTGCCAAGAAGACGGACTTATATATGTGGGTCGAGGCGGGAAATTAAACTCGGGAGCCGGCTTTGAGATTCGTGCTACGATTCAAACATTGATTATATATATATATATATATATATATATATATATATATATATATATATATATATATATATATATATATATATATATATATATATATATATATATATATTTTT